GAACACCTGTAAATGGCTTCAGTAAGGAGATGTGGAAGACATCATGAATCCGGCTGGTCGCTGGCAGTTCCAGCTGGTAGGCCACACTGCCAATCCGTCGTAGAACCTTGAAAGGCCCATAGAACTTAGGGGACAGCTTCAGGGCAACCCTATGGCGCAAGGAGCGTTGCCGGTAGGGCTGGAGCTTTAACCAAACAAATTGTCCTGGATCGAACGACAGTTCCCGATGGTGCTTGTCATAGGTGAGCTTCATGCGGAGTTGGGCCTGCTGCAAGCGAAGGTGGACATCGGCTAGGAGGGCGTTGCGTTCTTGTAAGGAGTGATCAATTGCATCCAAATGGGTAGGGTCATGCCGAGGGAAGAATGGTAGGCTGTGTTGTAACAGTACTCGGCCCAAGGGAGCCAATCCACCCACCGTCGCAGTTGATCGCCGATGAAACAACAGAGGTACATTTCGATGGTGCGGTTGACCACCTCTGTCTGACCGTCGGTCTGCGGCCGGTAAGCTGAAGAGTAGGCCAGGGTGGTGTCGTGCAGCCGGAATAACTCCTTCCAGAAGGCACTGGTGAAAACCGGGTCCCTATTGCTAACAATGGATTCTGGTAACCCATGTAAGCAAAAAATGTGTAAAGAAGGCGAGGGCAACTGAAGTGGCACTGTACGGGTGTGATAGAGGAATGAAGTGGGCGTATTTAGAGAAACGATCGACTACCACGAAGAGAACTGATTTGCCACCTACCTTGGGTAGTCCTTCAATGAAGTCCATGGAGATGTCGGCCCAGATCTGTGACGGAATGGAAAGGGGCTGAAGGAGGCCTGCTGGGTGTAGATTTTCCCATTTATGTTGTTGGCATGTGGAGCATTTCTGGACAAAATCTCGAATAGAAGTTTTCATACCTCGCCAATGGAAATCAGTCTGGATGCGGTGTAGTGTTTTCTGAACGCCTTCATGGGTGGAGTTATGGATGCTGGTGATGATGGTGGATATCAACAGGGAGTCGGACGGAAGATGGACCCGTCCCTTATATAGTACCAACCCGTCTTGAAGCGACCAATTGGGGTCGGCAGTGCCTGAATGGATCTTCTGGACCAAGGGTGACCATTCCGACGATTGTGGTGCTGCCTTCTTAATGTCGTCAAACAGAGAGATCTGGGGTTGGGAAATGCCATACAGAGTCATCGCGTCTTCATCTCGCCTAGATAAGGCATCAGCTGCGCGATTGGAGGACCCCGCCTTGTACTCCACCCGGAAGTCGAACCCGAGCAGTTTGCTAACCCAATGCTGTTGAGGGGTAGTGGTGAGACGTTGCTCTAATAGGTATTTGAGGCTGTAATGATCAGTTCTGATGACGAACGACCGCCCCCACAAATATGGTCTCTAGTGTTGGACGGCTCAGGCGAGGCCGATCAGTTCGCGCTCATAGGCTGGAAGCTTTAGATGCCGATCAGCCAGTCGGTGGCTGAAGAAAGCAATTGGGTGCCCTTGTTGCTGTAATATGGCGCCGATACCTACTCCAGAAGCATCGCACTCGACAGTAAACTCGAGGGCGAAATTAGGTAACTGCAAGACCGGGGTGGAGGACAGGGCAGTCCTCAGCGCCAGAAAAGCTTCATCTGCTGTGTCGTCCCAGCGGAAAGAATTTTTCTTTAACAGGTTGGTTAACGGTGCTGCCAACAATCCATAGTTCTAAACAAATTTGCGGTAGTAACCCGTTAATCCGAGGAATCCGTGCAAGGCCTTGGCTAATTGAGGTTTGGGCCATTCTTTGATAGCCTGAATCTTGGAACCATCAACTGTCACACCCTGCCCATGGATGACATGGCCGAGATAAAGAACTTGTCGCTCCCCAAAGGAACACTTGGACCTTTTGAGGAATAATTTGTGTTGGCACAGGAGCTCGAAAACTGATCGCAGGTGATGCACATGCTCTACCCATGATTTGCTGTAAATGAGGATATCGTCAAAGAAAACTAAAACAAATTTGCGCAGATGGGGCTGAAATACCTCGTTCATTAATGACTGAAATGTGGATGGGGCATTGGAGAGACCGAATGGCATGACCAAAAATTCGAAGTGGCCATGGTGGGTGCGGAAGGCAGTCTTCTTCACGTCACCGGAAGCCATGCGAACCTGAAAATACCCTGATCTGAGGTCCAACTTAGAGAAATACTGCGCACCATGCAATTCGTCCAGTAGTTCGTCCACAACGGGAATAGGGAACTTATCCTTGATCGTCCGGTCAATGAGTTCTCTATAGTCAACACAGAACCTCCACGTTCCATCCTGCTTTGCCACCAATAGAACCGGTGAAGAGAAGGGGGAGTGACTTTTGCGTATGATTCCTTGTTGCAGCATCGTTGTACACTGTCTTTCTATCTCATCTTTCTGTAGGTGAGGGTAGCGATAAGGCCAAACAACGACTGGCACTAACCCTGCCACTAAAGGGATGCGATGGTCGCAAGCTCGGGGAGGAGGGAGTCCCTTGGGTTCCTAGAATAAATCTGAAAACTCGGCGAGGAGTTTTTCCATAGCTGTCAGTTCTGTCTGAAGAATATGGACCTGTGGTCTCTTTTCTTTAACCCTGCAACCGTGCCATGAAACTTGTTTCCCATTTAGGTGAAATGTCATTGTGAGTGCACTGAAGTCCCATAAAATCGTCCCTAGGGTGATTAACCACTTGACCCCAAGAACAATATCGAACCCATCCAATGAGTACAAATAAATCAACAAGAATTAGTTCAGAATTGACCTGTATCGGGACGTCCTTACAAATCCCCGGACTGTGAACTTTCTCACCATTTGCGACGGCTACCTGTAGTTGTGGCCGGAGTTCCATTGGTAGTTTTAACTGCAAGGCGGCATGTTCACTTATGAAGTTGTGTGTGCTCCCTGAATCGACGAGAATGCGCACTGGCTGACCTGCGATCTGTGCCTGTAACTGCATGGTCTGAGAGGTTTTAATAYCGGTGATCGCATGGAGAGAGATCTCTGGCTCGAATGTGGCGGAATCCCCTTGCATCTATGCCCTGCCGAGTAGAGGTCATCACAGTTGAAGCATTGACCTCTCGCTCAACGTTCTGTCATTCCTGCTTTGGTCAAACGCTTGATGGGAGGAGTGGCCATGTTACTGCCTGTACTTGTCACTTCTCTAGAGGTGGTGGTCGTGTGAGGTTTCAGTTCCCGGCTGGTAGCAGAAGAGGGGGTCGTTGTTGCTGATCTTGAGGGCACCCACGAGTTTGGTGGACGACCCACATTAAAAATTCCGCAGCTGAGCTGCAGCTTGCGCTCAAATGTGCGGGCTAAGTTCATAGTTGTGACCAAATTTGGGGGATTCTGCATCTCGACATCCAATCGCAGGGGTTCTGCTAGCCATGCTGTGAACATATCCACTTGCTGGTCTGGTCGCACGGAGGATGCCCTCGCGATGAGGGTTTGGAACTGTCGCTGGTATTCAGCAATTGTTCCGGTCTGTTTAAGGTTAATTAGCTCGCCCAGTGGGTTGCTGGTCAGTGGGGGTCCGAACCGAAGAAGGCAATAGGATTTAAACTGGGGCCAACTGAGCCCGGTTTCTTCTTGCTCTATCCGATAAAACCAAAGTTGTGCTTCTTCTGTTAAATGAAAGGTGGCTAGGCTTGCCTTATCCCGGTCATCTGTCCATTGATTCCGGAAGAACTGCTCGCAGCGATACAGCCAGCCTAGGGGGTCTCCGTTGCCGTTGTACAACGGGAACTCCAGCCTACTGTACTTGGGGACGACGGCTGCTCCATGGCTAACGGACTGCTGTTCACCGGAAGACTCCGGCAAATCTGGTCGGCGGTCGTTAGCGGTTGTCCCTCCTTCAGAGTTCCTTTCCCTGCTAGAAAGGAACATCTCCATCAGACGTCGCAGTTCCCTCACTTCGCCTTTGATCTCACGAACTTCGGAGCTGGTCTCAATGAGTTGGTGCTTGAGATCGTGGACCCTGGATGGTAGCTGTTCCAGATTTCCCATGACGCCTTGCTCTGATACCAAGTTGTTGAGGGCCCGAGAATAGGATCTCATCACGGGTCGGTCCATGGGGAAAACCTCCTGTTTTCCCTTGTTCCTTCCTATTCATGATGAACCTATCTTGGTGCCTTTGGTGATTTGTCCAAGAGATCACCAACTCTTCTAACTCACTCGTTGACTGAATAATCTGATGATTTCATTCAATAAGGGTGTCTCCTTAAATAGGAGATTACAAGAGTCCTAATCTGAGGGAGTCTCCTTGTTGAATAGGGAGACTTCCAGTTCTATCTTGCTAAGGATAAGATAAGCTAATCCTAATCTGATAACTTACTAACAAGATAAGATAAGACAAGAACAAGAAGATAAGAACAAGCATGATAAGCTAATCTAATCTGGATGAGACTGTTGCTGCCAAACTGGGTAGACTGAGAATCACTGAATCATTACTGCTGCTGGCAGTGGGTCAGGTTTTTGCTGCTGCCGGTGGCGATGGTATGTCTTCCCGAGGAATGCGTCCATAACACAATTAGATTTCCCTTAATGTGAGATTAGCATTATACTATGAGGGTTGCAGCCATTACATAATGACCCTAGACATTCAGCTGTTTTGCATGATAATTACTCACTTTGGCCACCATAATTACTCACGTGAAACAGAAACTTGCATGACATAACTCATAAGTAAGGAATAGTCAAACTAAATGCATATAGTGTTCTTCCGACGTCACTTAAAATTACTATCACCACTTCAACCTGTTTATAGAAGAGTGAGTTCCAATTCTGCAAAGCTGCAATCTCTAGTGGTCAAGTGTATAGGAACCATGCTTGCATACAAAAATGCACATGCCATAACGAATGTCTGTAAGTAGATGCTAGAGCAACGGAATTCTAAAATGACAAAATCATGGAGGAGGAATCAGTTGGGAATTACAACTATAAAAAAATAGTACAGAAGCTTCCCATCTTACCTGCATCATCTCTCTCTTCCCGATGAGTAAGAGTAATGCCCTTGTTGATAGCCATTCCTTTCACCTGTCAGTTGCATAAGATTCCATAAACTATAGTAACTTTCTCTGGAATATAAAGGGAGATTTTTGAAATGAAAATTGCTTAAATAAAGTACAGGTCTAAATAAACCTTAAGGTGAATAGAAGTATCAAGAAATGAGGCAATCTACAACTAGTACTTTCACCGACTCCAACAAATATGTAAACAAAGCATCTAACAAGTTGATTCCAAGGGAAGTAAAAGCATGGCAGACTCTCTGATCAGGGCAGGGGTTAGAAGGGAGAATTTTGTTTAGGGGGCAGGCATTTTGTAAGACTGGTTTTTATATTATTGTGTTTGTTTAATCGGCCTTATGCTTCCCTTCTTCTCTCCTTCCCAAACATTATGGGATGCTGAGAGTTGTTTCAATGCTATAAATTAATAAAATTGTGATTAACTATTTCTGATCCCAAAAGGAGGAGTATTTAACAAGAAACCCGATTTGCTGCAGAAAACACAAACAATATAAAATCAAGTCTTGAATGACCGATAATTTCGAAACATTCAAAAGTTTTAACTCATTGTTGATCTTTCTGATCATCAAGTTGCATCAAGACACCTCTGATCACTGCTTATT